CCTTTCTATACCTCTCTAGAAAGCACAAAGTAAGCACACTGTTTTGTACACCAGCAATCAATGATTTGGACCAAGAGGAATGAGCTTTTCACTCTCTGAGTGAGGGATGACATCAATATAAAACGTTCACCCTAAACAAGTCGGAAAACACCTTCAGTTCTTGCACTATGTCCCATTGATTTCTGCTCAGCTCAACACAGATTCTGCAGCATTTAGACATTTAACTTCCTTTCAAGCAAAGTCATTACACAGTGGAGCATTTAATTAAGCAAGCACAGTGGTGCAATCTGGATGATTCAGTGTCTGTGGACCAAATTAACATATTTGTGCCTTTGCAGTCTCTGAGTCTCTGTCAAAGCTGATTCTGACACATTTCTTGAGCATCCTGTTCGCATAGCATTTAAAAAAAAAAAATAATATAAAAATAAAACACATGCAACATTTAAAAATCCAGACAATATGTATAATTGTCCAATGCAAAAAGCTTGATTTAAAACTTTCAGCTGAACATGTGAAAATATATTTTTGAAACAGAAGATGCAAAGTGTTCACAGCTGACCTGTTTCCACTGTGTAAGACAACATTTATGGCCACAGATGTGTCTGAGGATGTCTTGGGGAGGTGCTCACCTCTTTATCCCTCTGCGAAAAGGGACAAAGCCTATTGCTTTGTGTGTACACTTGAATTGCACACAAATCCCTAAAGAGACACCAAAAATTCAAACTGTTCTTAGTGGGTCAGTCATTGTTGTGATGGTTTACTTGGTTAACATTGATACAGCGCTCCACTGAACGTGTAAGGCTGGAAAATAGAAAATAAAACTGAGGCATAATGATTATCAATGGTATGGTTAGTCAATGCCACAGTGTGCCCGAGAAATCTTGTTTTGGGTCAGAATATCTCCCACTGGTATGTAAACGTGAATAGTATGTCCTTTGGAGGGAAATCTTGTAACCTACTTTTGCCAGAGATAACTAGGTTCTTGCTTTTTTTGTTTGTTTGGCTCATCAATTCTTGTAGGTATCACCACAGCGAGCAAACTCATGTGAAAGATTTGGAAATTGTTTTACGCCGGATGACCATCCTGATGCAACATGGGCTCTAAATTGCAACCTCCAAATTACAAGAGTGCAGCATCAACCACTGAGTTACCGCAATCCCGCCATAGATAATTACTGGTAGATAAATATCTGTATTTTTGGTGTTTCTCTCATGAGGAGATCAAGATTACAAGATTTTCCAAACATCGTGAAACCATAGGATTGTTCAACAACATCTCTTAGCTGTCAGTCTTTGACAAAAGTGACCTTTTCTGCATTATTCTAGTTACCGTCTTGGTTAGTAGTGCTCGTCATCACAGTTCATCTGTTCTTTAAGAAAGGAAACATTGGAACTGTGTTCATTATGAGTTTTCAATAAATACCATCACTGGTAATAACAATGAGCAATTATTAATTGAAATACAAGACATTAAGAACTAAGAATACAAGACATGGAGTAAGAGTTAACAGGAAACCATAAGACATTTCTAAGAACATGAAACCAGAGGAAAAACGACAAACAGAAACCTCAACGGTTATAAATCGAACATATGAACACGTATAAACCAAAAGCTTGTAGCATTTTAGCTTTTCTCCTGAAAAGGAACCTAATTTTATAATGACCCAAAGCTTATTTGCATTTCAAAAAACTCTATTTTTCCAAAACTTGAACTGTGACATTCTAAACTCAGACTACATGTGTTAATCAAAGTCAAAACTTAATCCAGGCCTGATAAGATGCTCCATTTAACAGGCTCGTCTTTAGCGGGGGGCTCGATTGGGGGAAATGAAGAGGAACTGATTGCTTGTGGTGATTGTGCTGATTACATTTTAAATTTAAAACTTTTTTTTTCCCCCCCAGAGCACCGTCCTGAAGAGTTACAGACGCAATGACGTAATAAGTTTAGGAAGTGTCAACATCTTCCAATCCTATAAAACCTTAAAAACATCTTTATTCTTAAAATTTTTTTTATAGGTACGTTTGACTTTTTTTGCTTTTTTACCCACGTTGCAGAAAAGTCTCGTCAATTTTCACGTATTTATCCCAAACAAATTCACAACATGAAAATGCTGAAATGTATAGGACTAAAAAAAACATTTTTAAATTGTTTGCCAGAACAGCATTAATCATCAGCATGTTTTAAAAGTTTAACAAAACAACACTGTTTTTAGCAGTGTTTAGCATTTTTGACCCTCCAGTATTTTTACTGACTGCAGCCTGAATTCACAGTAATGGTGATTTGTCATTACCCCACTTTCTCTTGCAGTTGGAGCATTTTAGATGGTTGTACTAAAAATGTATGAATTGCATTAGACAGAATACTACACAAACATTTGTATTAAATATATCATTGTGTGCTGTGTTTGCATACAAGGAAGAGGTGTTGGTTTGTCTCAATGCCTTCCATTTAGGACGACCAATCATGTCATCTGCATTCGTGAGATTTTCAAATGAGAAGAGGAAAAATGCTTGAAAATGTCCAGTTCTTTGAGGTGTTAAATCTTCCCGTTTACTTAAACACTGAACTGGATGCAGGCCGAGTGGGCATTCAGAGAAACCACTGAGAATAAGCTTGAGTGTTGATGTACAATCTTAACAGGGCTGAGACTCATCTGTGCTATCAAACCAGTGCAAAACCCATTTCAGTAGCCAAAATTGTAAACTTGCAAACCATTTTAGAAAATCTTGTCAGGCTTTCTGTGTTTAAGTATCCTGGTGCATTTTATATACTGGTTAAAGCATCAATTTTAGTCGGGAAAAATTGCTCAATCTTTTTTTCTTTGATGCAAGTTGAATCTTTCTGCATTTTATTTAGGAAGAAAAACATTTGTAGATTTTTTTGCCAAAAATACAAGTGTCTCTTCTCTGTCTGTGTGCTGCATATGTTCAAAAGTGGAAAATGTTGCAAGAAAATGTTTTTCTCTGTGTGGAGCTTGGGTCGTGAAAAATCAAAACTACTCTCAGTGCTCTCAAACACTAACAAAGACCAACAAAGTTCATGCTCAATAATCCAGGTATACAATTCAACATTTTTCAGTCAGGTCATCTGGACAGTCTTTTTTTTTTTGTGCTGAAACGTTTTGCCTTCGATCCAGAAGGCTTCATCAGTCAAGGAAACACACAACACAAAACTGATTCTTCCTCCCACAGCTTACTCCAAAGTGGAACAAACCAGTTTTGTTGGTGCAAAGATGGTCTCTGTGGCACATAGACATGGAGGAGGGGGCGTGCCACAGAGACCATCTTAGCACCAACAAAACTGGTTTGTTCCACTTTGGAGTAAGCTGTTGGGGGAAGAATCAGTTTTGTTGTGTGTTTCCTTGACTGATGAAGCCTTCCGGATTGAAGGCGAAACGTTTCAGCGCAAAAAAAGAAAAAAAAAAAAAATAGACTGTCCAGATGACCTGACTGAAAAATGTTGAACTAACAAAGACCATTCAGCGTTTCCCCTAGATCAGCTCCCTTGGCAGGGCGCTTGGCATATATATATTTTTTGGGTGTGGTCGGGTTGGTTACGAAGTCCCATCTGTGTTGCTGCCCACTAGCTTAGCGCTATGTTGCTGCTGTTTTTTTTTTTTGTTTGTTAGTTTTTTTGACAGGGATTCACATCTGTGTTCAGCGCTACATTGCTGCCAGTAATAGTCGTCAAAGTGTGTGTGTGGGGGGGAGGAGTAGCGGAGCATTATGTCAGTAGCTATTTTGCTAGCATGTTTGTGTTGCGCCCTATGCTACATTGATACCGACAGTTGTCGATGGGGTTTGGTAGTCAGGGTGCTCGGTTCTGTTAATGGGGCGGGGCACCCCCCCTTGCATAATAGTAAGGGAAACACTGCCATGCTTCATCATGCCTAAACTCTGATGACAGTTCCAGTAAAGCACATTTTACATACATGTTGCTATGGTTTGGGTCTTTGTTCTGGTTTTAGGTTTGTTTTTTTGTACCACGGTTACCTTTGCTTCTTATGGTCATATGCTCATAGTGTCCTTGTTTCAAGCTTTTGAGCTACCACCTGTATTATGTTAGTAATCAGCCCACCTGTTGTCACTCTTTGGGTATTTGTTCTGGTTTGAGGTTTTGCTTTGATCTTTGGGTTTTTAGTGTTCTGTTGTGAGTTTTGGCACTCCTGGATGTTCAGCTGAGGTTTGTTCTGCTTTTATGGTCACATGACTGGATGTCATCTATGGTCTTTGTTTCCAGTTCCTTACTCATATTTCACTACTAACCAACACATGTGGTGGAACTCAGTAATCATCTTTCCTGATACACAAACTCCCAGGTTTCCTTCAGTTGTTTGTCAGATTATCTGTTCAAACTCAACCACGTCTGCCATTTGCTTTTTTTTTTTGTTTTGTTATGGTTTTAGTTATTTCAATTCAATTCAGTTTATTTATATAGCGCCAAATCACAACAAAGTTGTCTCAGGGCACTTTACAGAAACATTCACATACATAAAAGCCAATTAGTAAAGTTTTCTATCTAAGGAATCCAGCATTATGTTTCTACAATTACTACTAAGATCATAACATCTTTCTCCTTCATGCCTGAGTTTAGTCCTGCTACAACTCACCATCCACAAATGTGACATGCATTTTTAAGTTCTCCTTATTTTCTCTAGTTTTTCTCCACATTGACTTTCATTTATGAATGTACAACGCCAAAAATGTAAAGACTGAACATGGATTATACTGACTGATGGTTTCTCACCAAAGTTGTTAAAGCAAAGAGCTGAATGGCTGATCACAAATCATTCCACAAAGAAAACACATCAAATCAGTTATACAAACTCAAACTTGTACCTGTAAACAAATTAATTCTATAGTTTGATTTTTGGCTTGCAAGACCAAATTTTTTATCTTTATTTACTTCTCATCACCACCAGTGAATTAGAGTCCCAGTGTCCATTAAAAAGCCATACACTTTTAAAGATAAACCAAACAAATGAGAGTAAAGAGGCCTACCTTGAGGTCGAAGGTGTGAAAGTCATGGAACATTCTCCCTCCTGAGACCTGTGACAGAGAAAGAGGATGAGACGTCAGTCATGATTAGGCCACAGTGCAATTACAGAGCAACTCCTCTGACAGTGATTGATCAATGAGGAACTCCTTTAATGAAGACAAGGACTCTGGGTCTACCACGGACAAATTGGCAAAAGTAAAAGGTGGAGAATAGTGTCCCAGATTGCTGAAGCACTAAGAGGATCATCCTGTCTGCAGCAGACTGATAGAAATACAGTATGCACAGGTGATGGACTACAGGTGGAAAAAAAAAAAATCTAATAAAATACTTGCTAGGCTATTAAAAGTTAGGTGATGTTTTTTTTTTCATCATGAAAACACATTTTGGTCATGATTCTTTAGTAAACTTTTAAGCAACTTAAAAAACAAACAAACACATAAGGTAAAAAAAGAAAACTGCTTGAATAGTGGTTTTGAAAGTACTCATTTTCCTTCTCATTTTTAATGAATTTATAGACAAAGTTATTTATTTTATATGTGAATGACTTAGTGAATGTATCAGGACTCCTCAAATGTGTCATTTTTGCAGTTGACACCACATTTTTTTGTTTGGGTAAAGATGTGAAACGGATGTTGGAATTGATGAAGACAGAATTTGGTAAAATTCCCTTGTAAATTTTGGGGTCTACTGTATATCTAGTACCTAGAAAGAATATTTAGACCTCTTAAACTTTTCTACATTCTGTATTTTTACAACAACAAAAAATAAACTGTGTTTACGATACCTCAACCTAAAATCAAGTGCAACCAGCTACAAACAAATTACATTAGTAATCAAACAGCATCATGAAGACCAAGGAACACACCTGACATGGCAGGAATTTTCATTTATAAAAAGGAAAAAAACTGACAACTTTGAAAACTATATCATTTTCCTCACACTTCACAATAACACACATTTTTGAGTTGGTCTATCACGTTAACATTCCAGAAAAAGTATATTGAAACTTGAAAGTTTGAGGTTCTAACATGACAAAATGTAAAACAATACAATAAAATAAGGTTCAAGTGGTATAATATTTCATCAAAGGGAAAATATAATATTAAAGACATGTTACAATTATAAGTTTACACAAAAAAAACCATGGGAATGCATTTTAAAATCCTGTCTGGACTGAACATAAACAATGTGAGCTGTGACAAACTGAATAGATGCAGTAAGTGAAGTGTCTGAATGAGCCATATATTCCTCTGAAAAGAAAAGTGGTATCTGCGCCAGAAAAGAAAGAAAAAGAGTTATTGGCAGCAGATGAATTGAGTTAGGGGAACTAAGTCTCAGTCTAGTGTTAAAAGTTGCAAAGATTTAAGCTTTCAATGAAAACACCTCCCGTCTCACAGTGAAACGTCAAGATTTAGCTGTGAAAAGGAGTTGTTTTGCTACATCTGGCCCTGGGTGGTTTGAATCTGTGCAGAGCACTATGAAATCAAGAGATTATTAAGACATTCAAGAGTAAAACATATTGCTCAGTGCCAAAGAGCTCTTCAATCTCAGGCTTCTACCAACAAGATAATGACCCCAAATATAAATCTGAAAGCACTGAGGAAAGGATAAGAAGAAAACAGACCATTTGGAAGTGACCTGCTCTCTGTCCTAATCTTAATCCAATTGAACATCAATGAGAGGAACTAAAATTTACAGCTGAGAGGTGGCAAATGGAGAGTGCTGGAGCAGTTTAATGGACCAGTCTACCACCTGAAAAGTGTCAGTGTCATTAACAGCTCAAAAGAAAAGCTGCTGGAGCCACAAAAAAGGGTCTGCTGTCAGGGTAAGGGTTTACCACGGCTGCTACGAGTTAGTGCTTTTAGATAAAAAAAGAAAAAGAACACCCACCTTCAATTATAGGGTTTTATGTAAAAATGATCTGGTTTTTACAAATACTTCAAATCCAACCGCAACAATCCATCATCTCTACATTAGTAGACCAAGTCTAGATAGGCAAGCTACGTGTGGAAAACTAAGCCTACCCTTAATATCGCCATAAGAGCTTAGGTGAGTAGCAACCAGATGCTTCAGATCCATTGAGGAACGTTAATCATCTATATGAAAGGAGTTTTGGCAATTTGCTCCTTTGGATAATTCAGATGTGTGTTAATCCTATTGTCAAGAAGGCAAAACATCAGAAATTACTTATGACAAGAAACTGTTGCTGGGAATCGATCTGGGAAGAGTTAAAGGTCCTTAAAAAAAGTTTGGCTTGCTTGGAATGGATGCAAGGAGAAAGCCTTTTGTCAATAAAACAATATGGCTGCATCACTTAGGAGGACTGTAAATGGATGAACCGCTAGAGCATTGTTCTTTAGACAGTTGCGACTAAAAATGGGACCTTTGGTCATGGAGATAAACTGAAATTGGCTAAAACAAGTGGTATGTTAATGTCCCCCATCACTCAGGGATTTGAATAGTGAATGTTTGTAGTTTTCAAGGCGAGTGTTTTTCTGGTCTGAAATTGAACAGGGATGCAGCTAAACTATAATGTTTTGGGTTCAAGACATTCAAGTGGATCGGAGTTAAAAACTGTTTATAAGAACAGAGGTAGGATTTAACTTTTCTTGTCTGAGGCAGTGCAGAGTGACGGATCATGGCAAGTGGAGGGAGCAATTTTTCCCACGACTGGGTGCAAAGGCAGGGGGTGGCTAATAGTACCATACCATACCATACCATACCAACTTTATTTATAGAGCACTTTATGCACCCAACAGGACCAAAGTGCTTTACACAATTATATAATACAATACAATGATAAAATGGAAGGGTAAAATTTAAAACAGGAATAAAATAATAAAATAAAATACAAACACAATAAAACAAGGTAAAACATCTCAGATTGTGCTAAAAGGCCAAAGAAAAAAGATGAGTTTTAAGAAGGGACTTAAAAACCTCAATTGAAGAGGCCTGTCTTATGTTCAATGGAAGGTCATTCCAGAGCCTGGGAGCTATCACAGAAAAAGCTCGGTCCCCTCTAAGCTTACGCTTTGTCTTCGGGACCTTCAGAAACAACTGGTCAGCTGACCTGAGTGAACGAGAGGGTGTGTAAGAATGTAGCAGCTCAGACAGGTATGGAGGGGCATGGCCATTTAAAGCTTTAAAAACAAATAAAAGTATTTTAAAATGAATCCGGTAATGCACCGGCAACCAATGTAAAGAGGCCAAAACAGGAGAAATACTGTCAAATTTCCGTGTACCTGTTAAAAGTCGTGCAGCTGCATTCTGAACCCTCTGAAGCTGGGAAATACATGAATCACTAATACCTATGTAAAGTGCATTGCAGTAATCTAGCCGTGTGGTCACAAATGCATGGATTGCTGTTTCAAAATGCTGTCTGGGAAGAATTGGTTTTACTTTAGCCAGCTGCCTCAAATGAAAAAAGCCTGACTTTACAACTGTTTTAATTTGAGACTCCATCCTAAGACCAGCATCCATCTTGACCCCTAAATTTGTAACAACTGGCCTGACATACTGAGCCAAAGAGCAATCAACAGGCAGAGAGTCTTCATTCGAGCTGCCAAAAATCACTACCTCTGTCTTGTCTTCATTTAATTTCAAGAAATTTTGGGCCATCCATGCCTTCAAATCCTCCAAACATAGAAACAGAGACCGAAGAGAAGTGGAATCTGCTTTCTTTAAAGGTAAATAAATCTGTGTGTCATCAGCATAACAATGAAAAGCAATCCCGTATTTCCTAAAAACAGAGCCAAGAGGAAGGAGATACAGTAAGAACAAAAGAGGACCCAAGACTGAGCCCTGCGGAACACCACATGATAGAGGAGCAGAGGATGATCTATTGCCATCAAGACAGACACAAAAAGTGCGTTTTGTCAAATAAGACTTAAACCAGTCTAGAGCTGTTTGACCAAGGCCCACATATTGTTCCAGACGAGCAATTAAAATCCTGTGATCAACTGTGTCAAAAGCAGCTGATAAATCCAACAACACCAAAACAACACAGTCACCAGAATCAGTTGCCCAAAATATATCGTTAAAAACTTTTAAGAGAGCTGACTCTGTGCTATGAAGTGATCTAAAACCAGATTGGAAAATCTCTAAAATATTATGTTCAATGAGATAAGACATTAGTTGCTTATAAACTACCTTCTCAAGAATTTTCGAGATGAAAGGCAATTTTGAAATTGGTCTGTAGTTCGCTAGGACAGCAGGATCCAAATTTGATTTCTTAATTAGAGGCTGGACAACTGCATGTTTCAGATTTTCAGGAACAACACCTGAGGACAAGCTACTATTAACAAGAGCAAGGATCGACAGACCTATAGTATTAAAAACCTCATTGAACAGTCGAGGTGGAATAGCATCATCTGGAGAACCAGTTGGCTTCAAGTGACTAACGACCTCCTGCAGGGATTGCAAAGTCACACATTCAAAGCTATTAAAAACAGCAGGGCAAGACACAGTATCAATAGGGTCATACACAATGGGTATGATCTGTGCCCTAATAGAAGTGACTTTCTCAACAAAAAAGTTTAAAAAGCTTTCACAAACAGCAGGGGAAGTCTCCACAAAAGCACCATGTGGGGCATTTAGAACAGAGTTAATAGTTTTAAATAAAATAGCTGGATTGCAACTGTTTGATACAATTATATTTGTCAGGTATCTTCTTTTAGCGTCTTTTACAATCCTTTGATAACAGCGCCAGCATTCCTTCAATATTTGCAGCGACACCTGCAAATTATCCTTTTGCCATTTTCGTTCAGCTTTACGACAGTTCCTCCTGGCAGCCCGAGTGTCGTCATTTAACCAGGGTTCATGTTTGGATTTTGCAAGTCTAGTTTTTAACGGTGCCACCGAATCCAGAGCTGCTTTGCTAGTAGAATAGAACCAGTTGCTGATATCCTCGGTTTTATTTCTGACAGTCTCTGGGATTGTACAGTTCTTATTAAAAACAGAAGAAAACTGAACAGCAGTAGAAGGGTTAAGAACACGACAGAACCGAACTGGTGCACATGGTTTAACCTTAGTAATAGACTGCTTTATCTCA